TGGATAATTGAGCAGGTTGGATCTGAGTGAGGTTGAGGCCCACCCCGAATTGTTTGGCAAATTCAAATTAAATTTAACAGCGACAGCGCGTTGTTATCTTTCAAACGACCAACTGCAAGCCAGTTCAAACGACCGACTGCAACAGCAAGCCAGCAACCGGAGGAACGGCCAATAATAGGGGTAAAGTGGCTCCGGAAGCATGACTCAATGCATGACACACAAGCCGAGTCGTCAATAATAGGATCCTCATCGCGATTTCGATCGACAAACAGGATAAAGAACAAGGGGAACAAGTGATTGCTTACGAGCGAATCAAAACAACAATAAAGGGTATTGCTTGCGAGCGAATCCAAGGTATCGACAAAGGGACATAGATCCAATCGACAGATTAGTTGCAATAAGGGAAGGACTACCGATGAAGATATGAGAGGAAACTCAGGCTCTGCACCAAGGATAGCTCATTCCATTGACAACCATAAGGGATAGACATATAAGAATAAGAATGAGTAACATCTCATAACCTCGCATGCTACCATGCGACAATACCATTGTGGATTGATTATCTAACGATCTAAGAGATGTAAAGTTTGTATTTCCAAATAAGTGAGCAGTTATTGATTATTTTCTAGAATAGGCCCGCAATTTATAAAGCTGTAAAGCTGAATTGTAAGCTGTATCCCGTCGCAGGGGCTGTTTGTGGCACAGGACACTGTAACCAAAAGGTCCATGTGGATGGCAGCAGTACCATGGCGCCCACCACAACAAGAGATGCCGTTGAGGCGCCCAAGATTGAAGTTGCTTTAGCAGTCATTTTGGGAAAGGAATACTTCCAAAAACTGGAAGGACCTGGAGAAGGAAATGATAGTGACATGCAAGAGTTCATGCTGGAAACAAGGCAAAAAGCCTTTGATTGGATTGTCAACCAGCTAGAGTTTGATGCTGCTAATTTGGTGCAAAGGTTTCTTTTAGTTCTCTTCTACTTCCAAACCACAAGGCATCAACCATGGAAGGAGTGCAATCCACCAGCAACGCCCCCAGGAAGTGTATCAGTTAATTTCTGCTATGAACCTGATACTATCACAGGGGAAACAACATCAAACATATGGGGTGATCAGTGGCTCTCTGCCAGCCGTGAATGCCAGTGGGCTGGAGTGATCTGTGAGACTGCACAGTCAAAAGAGAATACAGTTGCTGGGCTACAAATTCGTGAGTCTTGTACGCCAAACATTTGGATTGTGTCATTGATTTCTTACACATAGGAATGTGCCCTTCAGGGTGGAATCAGCTCAATGGCCCCCTCCCATGGGAGATGACACTATTGCCAGGCCTGAAACAGCTATATTTGCAGGACAACATGCTGAGTGGAATGCTAGCTGCTCTCTTTTTCACTAGAACGGCTCATGTTGGGCAACAACCAACTTTCAGGACCCATCCCCACAAGCTGGTTCAAGTATCTCAGTGAAGAGAATGCAAAACTCACCACTCTTCAACTCTTTTCAAACAGACTGACTGGGACAATCCCCTCTGAAGTGGGGATTTCCCCCTTGAAGAGACTTCGTCTACGCAACAATTCACTGGAATTTTTCCACGTGGGTTCTTTTGAGATTCTAGATTTTGCTCAAAATGATGTGAGTTGTTAGCCTCCTCTCCTGTTGCACAAGCAGCCCAAACCATGAAGAATCTGAAGTTTGGCCTCATGCTTCACCCCTTGCTTCTCCTAAAGCTTAGTGGCACCCTGCCAAGTGAAATTGGAGTGCTGCCGCACCTGCAAAATTTTCTTGTGGATCACACTACCCTCAGAGATTGGCCTGGCAACCCAATTGCGCGACTTCTATGTTTCCTACTCCAATATGGAAGGGGCAGTCCCAGAAGAATTGTATGCTGGACTCACAAAACTCCATGTTTTGCCCCTGAATGATTGCAACTTTTCTTGGACCATCATTTCATCACTTGGTCTTTTCACAGATCTCTGGTGGCTGCATGTGGCCAACAACAACTTCCATGGCACGATTCCCAGTGAGCTTGGGGCATTGACTGAGCTGAATCAACTAGTAGTGAATGGGAATCAGCTAACAGGCACCGTTCCTGTATCTGGATGTCATTCTGTTGCTTTTCATGAGAATTATGGAGGCTCTTCTGTGGTTGTGACTGACTGCTTGCCAAATCCCGGAACTGGAGTTCCCACAATTGGGTGTGATGACGATTGCTGCACCAGTTGTTGCGACAACACTGGGGTTTGCCTTGCCAATTAAGCGGCCCTATCGCAAACTTTTAGACAGAAGACTTTCACTTAGCTAATGCACAAACAGGCAATTTCTGCTTGCTAAGATCGTTGCAGCTATGGCATACTGGACCTGCATGGCAGTTGCATATTACGTCTAGATAGTTTCGGCCAAGTCCACTGACACCCCATCCTGATGGCAACACGGCTGCACAGAGCCGACTTGACTGAGTCACTCCCTTTGGAAGGTTTGCAGGTTCCGATATCACGGATTTGTTTCCGTGACTTTTTTTGACGTCCTACATTGCATGAGTGCATGGTGCGCGTCTCAGTGGATCACCATAGCATCTTTGACCTCTTCGTCGTATTGGGATGCATAGAACTTGAGTCCTCCTTGAGGTGAAAAGGACCCTGTGATACAGTGTATGCCATCACAGCACCCAGTTGTAAGTTGCAAGCGAAGTTTTCTAAAAAGAACGGGACATCTCAATGGCTATTTGACACTACTAATAACACAACAGCGCCTCGCCCCCGAAGGCCATTACTGAGTTTTCGAGTTTTCGAGCACTCGGAATACATCGGTAGTGACTCGGCTCAGTGGAGTCCAAGTTCATCCACGAAGCTATTATCGGAGGGGCTTTTTCACGCAACACGCCCAACTTAAGGAAAGATCCACTTCTTGGCATCCAAGTATAAGTCGACTGCTTTGGCTGTTGCTGTGGGCGAATCGAATCCGATAATGTTTTTGTGTCCACAAAGCTCTTCTCACAGGTCTCGCGAGGCAGGAATAGATAGACTGCTGCTCGTCAGAGCATACCGAGTCCGGCTGGGGGGAAAGAATCCTGACTGAGCACCGGCTCATCATCTATTCGCTTTGCTTGTTGTTGTTGGAGTGACAGTACTTTTCCACCAATGCTGTTCCAATATCTTGTGGGACCAGCGGTGGTTGTCGCAGGATATACTGCAGAACGATCTCTCGCAGCAAATAGAATGTGATTGGGACTGCCAACTTGACTTGCAAAAAGTCTGATTTTGGTTTGACACCGGTCATGATCAATCCGAATTCATCCAAAAAGGCTTGTCCACTCGCTTGTCCGTAGGCACAAGCCGCATCCAACACAATGGGAAACTTGGTAATCAGTCTCGCTCCAATAGCGGAAAGATGAAAGTCGTCCCCAAACGCGTTCTTCCATCGTTGCTGATAGACTTGGCTGGCCGTGGAAGAGAAATTGTGTGCCGCAAACATTTCGACAATCGTTTGGGCCGCCAGTTTCGCTGCCACCATGGCGGTATGAATGCCTTCCCCCGTCATGGGATCGGTTTGTCCGGCCGCATCGCCAATAACCACTAAATGATCCCCGTATGTCTGGGCTTCTCCTCCACATCGAATGGGTGCGACCTTTAGTTTGCCATTTTCGCCTTGCGACAAATCCGTGCGCCACTGGGTTGATTCATAGCTGTTGCTACCGCCAAGTAATGCCCCTTGGACGTACGGATGTCGATTCACCAAATCTTGCTCAAATCCGGCAATGCATCGGGAGGTGGCTTTGCCACCGGGCAATATATAGGTGCCTAGATAAACGTCGTCATTGGAGTGTTTAAAGAGCGCCGAATATCCGGGCAAGACGGCTCGGTTGAAAAACATGACTCCATCGGCGGTAAAATTGTGGGTATGCCCCACGACATATCGATGGGAACAAACGGCATCGGCATCCGTGGCGACCAATCCCAGCTGTCTCGCCAAATAGGAAGTAGCACCATCCGCAGCTACCAACACACGTCCCTTGTAGACTTTCGTTTTGGTCTCTTTGCTGTTTGTGTTTGTTGTTGTAGGAACCTGCCAACACTTGGTATCAGACGAAAAGGATACTTCCGACACGATGACATTGGAGTTTTCTCGCAATGTAACTCCCGGTTGTTGCGCCGCCGCCCGGGCCATGATTTCATCGACAATGACGCGTTTCATGGCGTACGTTTTGACCTTGGCGACAGATCCATAAGACGCTCCTTCGGTGTTGATGCATTCGTATCCACGCGGAGATACAAAGCCACCCCGTTGCACCGGTCGACACAATTGTTCGTCTTCCAAGTGTTGCAAGACACTTTTCGTCTTATTGTCTTCATGATATTCCATGTCGTCGAGAATGTCGAGTGCCTGATGGCACCATGCGTCGCCGCAGTATTTGACGCGGGGAAATGTCTTTCGTTCCAACAAGAGAATTTTCAAGTTTTCCCCTGCATGGCCCAGATAGTAACTGGCCGTAGAACCAGCAGGTCCCGCTCCTACCACAATCACATCGTAATAGTCGTCGTCGTCATTACTACTACTGTTTGTATCATTGGGATCTTCTGTTCCACGAGGAATACTAACAGCATCCGCCTGATCTCGTTTGGACAACAGAACTTTTCGGACCACAACAAGAAGAGTAGCTGCTGTTGCCATCAAGCCCAACGAGGGAGAGTAGCTAGAGTACCCGACCGATCTCATCATGGTCTCCTGTGGTGGCACCGTTGTGCACGGTTGGCTTTTAAAATTCGGGAACACAAAATGGACCCCTCTCTTTCCAGAATTGGATCTTTGTGGTCTCTCGAAAGATCGAGCCGAGTTCAGTCACGAGTAACTTCGCCTCAGCGCAGCGTAGCAAACCGGCAACGAAGCGAAACGAAACGACCTGTTCTCGATCCCTCTTGTTGGCCATTTTAGGGGGTTTTAGAGTAGGGAAATTCCCTCTTGTTGTTCATTGCTCTCTCTAATCCGTAGTAACTCCCCGATTTTCTTCAAATAAAAAATAAAAAAATAGTAACACTACGGCAGTTGATAGAAGTAGAGCAAGATGAAAGGAGCAAACGGCCGTGGAGGTATTAGGACTACTACTAATGAAGAACAACAAATAGCTGCCAATGGTACAGAAGCTACCGGTACTACTAAGAGAGCCTGCAAAGAAGACCATCCCAGTGGTCGCACCGGCAAAGTTGATGTTGACACTGCGGTAGTCAACCAGAAACCAGGGGCCATATTTGCTACTGGTAGTTCCTCGGCTTCTTTGTCAAAAAAGGGATTATCCCATACTCCAAACCAAGTGGCTGACCGCCACCAAGTTGATGTTGACACTGCGGTAGTTAACAAGAAACCAGGGGCCGTTTTTGCTACTGGTAGTTCCTCGGCTTCTTTGTCAAAAAAGGGATTATCCCGTACTCCAGACAAGGTCAATGCCGCACGGGGTAAACATCCGCCAAGCTCCATTTCAGCCACTTCCCCTTCCTGTACAAAAAGCTCAGGTCGGAACAGTACCATTGGTGCCGTCATGCAGTTTCATGGGCTGGGACGATCGACAGAGGAGCAGCAAGCCAAACGGGCAATGTGTAGCGGTACGGCACCACAACTAGACCGCAACACAACCTCAGATTCTAAGAAAAACAATAATAATGCCATTGAAAAAGGCAAAGAGTTGCATACAAAGAGCCCATCTGGTGGTGGTGACATACATCCAACAACAGCACATCAGATGACGACAATGACGACTTTGCGTGGGTTACGCAAGAACAGCAGGGCTCCTGAGCCACTACCAGCAGCTGCAGAAGTAACAGGACCTACGGATTGTTGCCATGATGTGGAACATCAAGAGCAGGGCATCGTACCTACGCCACCATCACCTCACCCAAACCATGGACTGGTGGAAGCAAGGGAAGTTACGGAAGAAGCCCACCTGCAGGACGCCCAAGAAGTAGATGTGGCAGTACTAGAAACACAGACTGAGAAAGAGGAAAAGGAGAGGCAGTGTCGGAGAGTTGGCTATGCCATAATCTTTTGTTCCCTTGTTATTATTGCCATCAGTTTGGGTGCCGGACTCAGGCCCAAGCCTCAAGCCATTCAAACAGGTGCTCCAACTGTCTTTGGTTCCATGGAACCATCGGAAGTACCATCATCCGCCCCCACTGGGGTTCTCGACTTGTTATTCGATAGTCTCCCTGACTACACTTTGGCCAGCATCAACAATGGCAGTGAGACCCCCCAGTGGAAAGCATGGCAGTGGCTATCCAATCACCAAAACATCACAAACTTGCCTGAATGGAGAAAGCCACAGCTGTTTGCTCTAGCTACATTTTTCTATGCTTTTGAAGGAGAAAGTTGGAATCCTTTGATAAAAGGCCATGGATGGATGGATGACACAGTCGAAGAGTGTGACTGGTTCTCCAGTGGGTTTGGTTGGTTTTTCCTTTATGATGGAAAATACTACGAAGTGCCATACTCTACACCTCCCTGCAACAGCCGAGGACAATTCATAGCTCTGCATTTGCAAGACCTGCAGCTTTCTGGTCGTTCACCATTTATTCCACCCGAGATTACCCTCATGACTTCCTTGTCTCGTGTGTCTCTTCACGGCAATGATATTGCTGGACCAGTTTCATCTCTGTTACCAGCAGAACGTTATGAGATGATTGGATTTACAACGTTGGATTTGTGGGGAAATCAAATCACTGGCAAAATTCCCTCTGAAATGTCCACAGTTTCTGCTTTGAATCGGTTATCTTTGTCTCAAAATCAGCTCACTGGTCAAGTCCCTTCTGAGCTTGGCCTTTTGACAGCTTTGCACGCACTGGATTTGAGCGGAAATCGGTTGACCGGTCAAATTCCCTCTGAACTTGGGCTCCTGACCTCAATGACTGCGCTTTCCCTTTCAAGGAATCCGTTGACAGGCCAAATTCCTTCTGAACTTGGGTGCCTAACCTCATTGGAAGAGCTTGGCCTTCAGGAGAATCAGTTTACGGGTCAAGTCCCTTCCGAGCTTGGGTTCCTGACCTCATTGGAGCGCCTCTTGCTTGATGGCAATCAATTGGCCGGTTCAATTGCTTCAGAGATTGGGCTCCTGACCTCATTGGAGCGCCTCTACCTTAGAGACAATCAGTTGTCTGGTCCAGTTCCTTCTGAGTTTGGGGCAATTACTGCTTTAACTACGCTGTGGTTGAATGGCAACCAGTTCACTGGCCCAATTCCCATGGGGCTTTGGCTTTTGACGTCGTTGGGAGAGCTTTACTTGTCTGACAATCAGTTCACTGGAAAAATCCCAACTGAAATTGGGGCGATGACATCTTTGACATCTCTGCGTCTTCACAACAATAGCCTAACAGGAACACTGCCGAGTCAACTGAACGTGTCCAAGGGGTTAACTCTATATGGGAATCGTTTCTCAGGAACTGTCCCAGGGATTCTCTGCTCTTTTCTATGGTGTGATTGTTCCCTAAATGAAACTCCTCCTGTTTCCACTTGTGCTGACCTCACAGAAGGTCCACCCGATTGGCCTGGACGATTTCCAACCCGAGGTGCTGATGTCATGCTCAATATCCAAACTGAAGATTATCCAGACGATATATCATGGGTTTGGCAGAAGGAAACCAATGCAACAGGTATTTGGGACGCATTGGAATCAGGTGGTCCACTCGGCAGTAAACATTTTCTTTACTCCTCTCTCTTACCAGTGAACACTGACACAGCCTACAGACTGGTTGTGTCTGACAGTTGGGGTGATGGTGTCAACATCCCTGGTTGGATCACTCTGACAGCCACCAACCAAACAGTGTTGTATTCTTTGATAGCTGGGGAGGCCTTCTCTGAAATCACCATTGACGTGTTGGTTGGGGCAGATGGATCGTTTGATATCACCAATTCTACAACTACATTAATCAATATACTTGCATAATCTTATATGAACATAAGGTATCAAAGTGTAAGGGAAGGCAAATGTTTGCTTGATTTGGGCTGCTGAGGCTGGCTGTGAGAGGGAGGAGAAGCAAGAGCTTGTGCCGTTTCGCACCACCACCACCACCACCACCAAGTTCTATGCTGGCAGTTACTTTAAATTCTGCTTTTTTCGTATGCACGGAGATACTTTTCTCCAGTATGTTAAACTGCTAAACTGTCCAACAATTGTGATTGGAGACAACTACGAGACTCAAGTAATTTTTTTGGTCATGGGTGCACAGTACATCTCTTCTGCGATTGCACTGAACTTTTGGCTACGAATTCAGGGCTGGATGGTTCCGAAACTATGTCTTTGTTCTCCTTGTCATCACGCGTTGTTTCATTTACACGTACATTATCTTTGTGCCTTCCAAGCTCTCCTGCTTCTGGCGCACCAACTGCGTGACTGAAAATGTCGTGGGTGGGGTGACTGGCGGCTTTCTGTCATCCCCATCCAAAAAAGCTTCAATACAACAATGATGCCGGACAGCTTTCAATGGAAGATCTATGTCATTGTTGTGGTGGATACAGTGGCCATTTCCGCTTTCGAATACTTTGGTATCAATGGTTTCCGTTGCTACTTTCCAGCCAAGAGATTGGCCGTGGAGGAAGAAGACACAAAGTCCACGCAGCCGAGTGGTGTTTCCTCTCGC